CACAATCCTGCACCTCAGGTTATACTTCAAAGCTACAGAGATAGAAGCAGCACGGCACCAGCCAAAACAAATCAACAACAACAAAACAAAAAGCAAGCAAACAAACAAACCAAAAAACCCAGGCTGTGGATCAATGGACCACAATAGAAGATGCAGACACGTCTTTGGGCACTTTTACCCATTTTGATCTTTAACAAATGGGTCAAAAACATGCTGGAGAACATTTACCCTCTTTTCCAAGTAGTGCTGGGAAAACTGGTTATTCACGGCAGAAGAACGAATCTACTATCTCTCATCCTGTGCTAAAATCAAATGAGACTAGATCAAAGACGTCAGTCTAAAAACTAAAACAGGAGTTTGCTGGAAGATAAAATAGGTAAAACTCTTGAAGATACAGACATAGACAAAATTCAAATTGCAGAAGAAATAACATCACCAGCCAACAAATGAGACTATATCAAATTAAAAAGCTTTTGTACAGCAAGGAAACAACCAACAGAGTGAAAAGACAATCTACAGACTGGGAAAAATGTTTTCCAGGTACTTCTCAGAGAACTAATGTCTAGACTATGTAAAGAGCACAAAAGAATTAGAACCCTGAAAAGAAAACTCCCAGTCAAGAGTCTGGGGCTATAGCCCAGTAGCACAGCGCTTGCCTGGCAAGTGCAAGGTCCTGCGTTCAATTCCTTATACTGGAAAAAAGCAAAGAAAACATCAAATAAAAAAAAAGAAGTGGAAATAAATGGAATGGAAAATAAAAGGAAATGGAAATAAATACACATTTCTCAAAAAAAAAAAAAGAATTACCAGTGGACAACGGAACCAAGAAAAAAATGCTTGTCTTCTTTGGCCCTTAGAGAAATATAAATGAAAACAACACTGAGGATAGCATCTTAGCCCCAAAAGAATGGCCGTCATGAACTCAGCAAGTGCTGGTCAGGTTGTGGTGGGCAAGGGAACACTTCTGCATGGTTGATGAGAAGGTAAATTAGTGCAACCACTGTGGAGATCAGTATGGGGAGTCTCAAAAAACTGAAAGCAGGGCTGGAGAGATGGCTCAGTGGTCTAAAGCACCTACTTGAAACAAGCTTGGCAAAGCAGAGGGACTGCGGTTCGATCCCCAGCACCACATGCCAGCCAGACCCGCCCCCTGGTGGGCTGAGCTGGCCACACACACACACAATAAATAAATGTAATAAATAAAAATAAATAAATAAATAAATATTAAAAAAATCATTTAAAAAAAAAAACAACTGAAAGCAGAAGCTTCATTGCAGCCAGTTAGACTTCTTCTGGCCATCTTCCTGAAACATTTAAAGGCATCATATTACAGTGACACAGGTGTATCAGTGTTTATGGCAGCACAACTCGCAGCACTAACACTCAGAAGCGCCTACATATATGCCCATCAGCTGATGGATGGGAAAATGAAATGTGGGCTTGCACTCTGGGAAAATATGGTATCTATTTGAAACACTGCTCAGCCGTAAAGAAGGATGAATTTGAGTCCCTTGTAGGAAAATAGATGCACCTGGGAGACACTCCTCAGAGGACCAGAACGTATAAATAATCTAAAGACCAAAATAAAAGATAATATGAAATAAAGAGATGGACTATGTAGAGATGGGGAGGGAATTTGGAGATGGGGAGCAGAGATGAGGGGGAGGAAAGGGGGAGAAGGAAAAAAGAAAACAGAGGGTCCTTGGGTTTGGTCCTTCGAGTTAATCTAGGAGCTGCAGCTGTGGTTCAGCAGTACCACACTTGCACTGGGTTCAGACCCCAGGCACACACACACACACACACACACACACACACCCCTGCCTTGATCCTGTGAAGCACTAGCAGGATGAGCCACTGTTTAACCTCCCATTGCACTTGTGTACCCCATGCAGAGCTTCTCCGCCTTTCCACGGAAGGCACCCAGAGCTGGGGAGCTTTGCTCAGTAAATAATAGAACCCCCCACCACACACACAGTGGCTTAATAAGAGGGCAGGGCAGCCCGCCGCCGGGCTTCCTTGGAGGAGTCCTGTCTTCGTCACGCCACTTTGCAGCTGTGCCACCTCGGAGGAGCTCTGATCTTCATGGTGGAGCGCCGGTCTGCACAGTAACTAGAAGGAAGAGAGAGTTTTGATGGATGCCGCAGCTGCTGCTCCTCCTCTGCTCTTCATTGTTTTCTGCCACCATAAACTACTGTCATTTGCCTTGGAGCCAACTGAGTATAGACTGAAACCTCCACCAACTGCGAGCTAAATAAACCTTTCCTTCTTTAAAAAAAAAAAAAAAAAAAAAGGCAGGGCTCTGAACCTCTGTCTGTGCCATATATGTATGGTGACATGTGTGGACCCTGTCACAGAACACTGCTTTATTTAAAACTGCTTTATTAGCTCAATGTGGTAGTGCATGCCTCTAATCTTAGTGGAGGAGGCTGAGGCAAGAGAATCCCAATTTCAAAGCTAGCCTGAGCAACTTAGCAATGAGCCTGTCTCAAAAAAAAAAAAAAAAATACAAAGGGTTGGGAATGTAACTCAGTGCAAAGGCCCTGAGTTTAATCTCCAGTATCTAAATAAAATAAAAAGCATTGTCAAACTACATGTGGGAGCTGCACATATTTCATGTACACAACTTAATGAGTTTAGAGATAAGTGTGTACCTATGAAGCAGGGGTCTTAAAAACATAAAGTACATTTCTTACCAAAGGAAGCAACTTTGTTGAAATGCAGGTATCACACCATGTTACTGTGGTCCTCTCAGAAACATGCCGAGACAGGATTCCACCTGCATCAAGGTCCTGAGTTTGATTTCTGAGAAAGAAAGAAGGAAAAAAAGAAAGAAAGAGAAAGAAAGAACGAACGAACGAACGAACGAACGAAAGAAAGAAAGAAAGAAAGAAAGAAAGAAAGAAAGAAAGAAAAGATTCTGCCTGGGGCACAGGCTGCGGGAGCTTGAGACCTCCTCAGTGGGGGTGGGAAGGAGAAAGAAGAGAGGCAAGAAGGAGGCGTGAGGTCCTCTCTGCATGCGGCCTGGGGACAGTCCAGCTTGGGGGAGGCGTCCTGCTGTGGGGGGTACTGCGGGCGGGGAGCGGGCGGGCTCGGTGGACGTGGGTGCAGCCCCGCCAGCAGCTGGGGGAGCTCAGTGGGCCACTGTCCTGCAGCTGGAGACCTGAGAGGTGTGTCCTGGCACCGCTGCGCACACTCTTACAAAATCCTTGTGCTAGAGGAAAATGTGTACTTTTCATAAACTGCTAAAGGGCTTGCTAGCACACTCTGTCACTACCACAATTGCAATGTCATAAGGTGCATAAACACCATTCTGAAATAGCTGCAATGATTGTGCTACAATAAAGAAATAACCGATCTCTTCTAATGGCAAAGTGAATGGCCTGGCCTAGACCGTGGTGAGATGTCGTCCGTGTAAGATTCCTTCCTCTGGCATGAATAAGAAGTGGGAGAGAGGTAGGTCTACGGAAGAATTGCAGGAGCCCTTCAGGGAGGAGGAGGAGAAAGCAGAGAGAAGAATTTATTGGGCTGGGTTGGGGGCAGAGTTTGTAAGGGCGGTTAGGTGTCCTAACAGGCATTCACAAAAGGAAAGAGGACGTTGAGGCTGACAGGCCAGGAAGAAGGAGGAAGTCAGGTTGGTAGCTACGCGTGGCTACGTGGTTGGCTTAGGATCCCCATGCCATGCTGGCTTTTTGGCACGTTGGCTCGGCAGACTTTTGTATGGGCGCAGACCCGTCAGCCTGTACTCCTATGGAAGGAAATGTAGAAATCTGGCTGGGGTGTGAAAATAAAGGTGAAAATAATTTTTGTCATTGAGTTTTTGTTGTTGTTGTTTTATTTTTTTCTGGAGAAAGGGTCTCTCTATGCAGTTCAAGCTGGTCTTGAGTTTACTTTGTAGTCCAGGCTGGTCTTGAACTCACAACAATCCTCCAGCCTCAGTCTCCCAAGTGCAGTGCTGGGATTACAGGCAAGTGCCACCACACCCAGTTTCATGCTTTGTTTTTATTTGTTTGTTTTGTCATTCAAATTTATAGATTGGAGAGAATTTCCTTTAATAAAGAATGGCTGGCTCAGTGGGGTGTGGTGGTGCCCAGCGTGGGGGGTGGAGCAGGGTGTGCTCAGCATGCGCAGAGGACAACTGGTGCAGCAGCACCTGCCAGCTCCGCCTCGCCCGCGGTGCACAGAGAGCCTCAGATGGGCCACGTCCAAGAACAGAGAGAAATGCAAGTGTGCTCTTGCTGGGCGCATTCGTGTGCTGGAGAAAAGAGGACTCGAGGGACCCGTTGATGGCTGCAGATAACCAAAGGGCAATTCTGGTGCCCCAGAATCAGATTTGTCCCAGGAGGCCCTAGAAACCAACCAGACTGGCAAACTTTAGCTCAGGACAGGTTAGGCTGTGCAAGTTCCCTGAGGTGTGAGTTATGGTGATAGCATACCATCCAGCACACAGTAGGCACCTAGTATGTACCTTTCAGATGACTGTAACAAAGCTATCCTGCAATCAAGAGGGCTGTGTTGAGCCCGGACAGAGAGTGAGCTCCCAGGCACTGGAGGTGTGCAAGGCCAGGAAGGTGGCATTGTAGAAGGGCTGCTGCAGGCTCTTACAGGAGGAAGTAACCCCTTCCATGAGGACCATGCTGCAAGATCCTGAAGATTCATCCAGCCCCTAGCCTCTGTGAGCTATGAATTATCCATGCTGGGGTTCAGTAAACGCAGACTGATTTTGGTATTAGCTGAAGCAAAACCTAATTAGGAAGGCAAATTGATTTCCAAAAAAAGAATTGGATGATATGTTCCCAGGACTGTTAGAAATGGTTTTTTAATTGTCTGTTCTTTTGCATTATTCATGCAAATGTATGGCTTTGTGAGCTAAGTCAGGCTTTCACCCCTAGCCCTGTCGAGCTCCTGCAGCATAGTGGGGGGCACGGACAAGGGGGGGGAGAAGCACAGAGGGCCCCAGCAGCCCCCAAGTGAGAGCTGCCTTTCTTGTCCACCTGTCCCAGGTTGCACGGTCCCAGGGCAAGGGCATCTTCCTCTTCCGGAGACTGAAGGACGTCATGGACTGGAGGAAGGTGAGCCTGTTCTCCCAACCTCCCAGACCTGTGCCCTGGCCAGGGAAAGGACCCCTCCTTCCTCTCTACAGCGGGGGTCTCAAGCCAGATTGCCTGGATTCAAATCCTGATCTTGCCACTCCATGGCTGTGCGACCTTGGGCAGGTGAGTAGACCCCTCAGCACCCCAGGAAGTGGAGATGATAACAGTGGCTGCTGAGAGTGCAGTTTATAGCGGCAGCCACCGGTATAGTGCCCGGCACTTAGCAGTGCTCCACACTCCAAGTTTTTTATCTGCCTCCTGCTCTCCGGCTAGAGGGAGACAGAGGAGGCTGAACTCCCCACCTGTCCCTACCACATCCTCAGGCCCAGACACATGCAGTGGAAATCCAGGTTCAAATCCTGCCTCTTCCATTCAGAGGCTGCATATTCTTGGGAAAATGGGTGCATTGCTCAGGTGTGGGGGGCGCAGGATGACCCAGCTCCTCCAGGCCCACAAACTCATTTCCCCTGACACCAACTCCAAGTGTCCCAAATCTTCCCATGCCACTGTCGGGCACTGCTGGCAAGAAGTTCACCAGCCTAGAGGCCCAGCCCACCTGTGCCACCGCTGCCACTGTTAATCCCTCTAGCGCCCACGTGAGTGGAGGTGAGGTGGCCCAGGTCACAGGAAGCAAAGGCTTGGCTACTAAGTATGGGTGGTGGCTAGTGGGAGAGGAGTCTGGCCTGGCAGCCAGGAGGCCTGGGTTCATGTGTCCTCTCTACTGGTCCTTGTGCTGGCGCAGCAAGGGCAAGGACCTTGTGTTTGGCCCTTGGTCCCTCACAAGCTATCTGGGACAGTGGGCTTTGCCGGCTGGGAGAGCTGAGCCCCTGACAGCACCTATTTTCCAGTGGAGTCCTGTCCAGTAGGTCAGGCAGCACTGTCCAGAACAACCCTCCACTGTGACAGAAACGGTGTACATCCATGCTGTCAGACAGGGTGACCACCAGCCATGGCGACACGGACTGCTTGACATGGCTGCCGAGGGACTGAATTTTAAATTTCATTTCCTCTCCAAAAATTGTGCTGAGCTATATGTAGCATAATCTTCACTACTTCACCCCCTCCAGGGGACCGTCCGTGGCATCACATGCATCCGGATCACTCACCATGTGTCTGCAGAACCTTTTTTTGTCAACCCAAACCGAAACTCTGCTCCCATTAAACACCAGTGCCCCACTGTCCCGCACCCCCACGAGCGCCATCTATTTTCTGCCTGCATAATTTGACTCCCCTATAAGTGGAATCATACAATGTTTGGCCTCTAGTGTCTGCCATTTTTCACTTAGAATCATGCTTCCTGATTCACCCACATTAGCGTGCGATTTCATTTGCTTTTGATCAATTTAAATGTAAATAACCACAGTAGCCAGCGAGCACCCCTCCAGGCAGCACAGGCCTAGTGGTCAAATGCTCAGGTGCTGGGCCCAAAGCCTGTGGGGCTACACCCCAGCTGTGCCGTTGCCTGCTGTGTGACCTTGGGGAAGTCACTCCACTCTTCTGTGCTTTAGTTTCTGAGTGGGTTGATTTAAGGGCTAAATAAGATATGCCAAGTACAGTCCATAAGACAATGCCTAGGGCACAGGGAAAGGTTTACTGACTGTTAATAACAGACATTGCTACATTTAGGACACAAGAAATTCTGATGACCAGAAAGAGGAGCTACCTGTGGAGAACTATGTAGCTCAGCGGTACGTCGAGAACCCCTACTTAATCGGAGGTGAGATGACTGCCTTGGCTCCCTGCCCTCTGACCACTCAGTCGAGCCATCTGTCAACAACTGGTGCTGACAGTGAAGGGAAGCCTGGGCAGAGACCTGGCCTGCCTTTCAGCCCTCCTGCCCATTGCCCGTGCAGTTCCCTCAGGCCGGCACGTGCTCCCCGGGCCCTGCTTGGTTCACAAAAATTTCCCTTCTTAGAGAACCAAATTCATTACTCACACATCACCCAAGAAAGGGTATAAAGCACCTACTTCTTGCCAGCTGTGGCCTGGATCCTGCTGTCCACTGCTCTCATGGAGCCTGTACCCCAAAAGGGCAGACAGCACCAAGCCAGAGGACCCGGGGATCAGGCAACCAGAACGACACCTGGGTGGGCTGGAGGGAGACTCGAGAGGGGCAAGGCAGGAGACCTGTGTTTCCCACGCAGGGGCTGTGGGCACAGGTGTGAGGCAGGTTGTGGGGGTTGCCTGAGACGCATCACAGCACCGGAATCAGTACCACTTGGCTTCCTGGCACCAGACAATGACCTTCCCCCCAGGGGCGGTTCCCATCCTGTCGGTGACTTTAGACACCAATGACTCTGACCATCCCCAGCCAAGACCTCACCCTGGCCCCAGATCTCTTGGTCATCTGCTGGCAGCTCAGCATCCGCCCTAGTCCCAGCCCCAACCTCTCTCTGCAGCCACCTGGTTTCAGCTTCTCCATTGGCTCATAGCCTCTGCCTCCGCAGCTTGGAAGCCAGGCTGGGAGTCCTTGTTGGCACAGTTGGTTCTTCCACTCCCATATTCACTCTTCGCTGCCTGACTCCTGAAGCTGTCTGACCCACGCCTTGGCCTCCATCTGGTCCTGGCCATGGCCCCTTCCCCATACCTACTGCCCTGGTCCCTGTGGCCCCACCCCAACACAGAAGCAGAGTGTTGCACACCCTGTAGAGGCCTCCCACAATGTGTAGAGCCAACTCTAAAGACTGCACGTGTTCTGTCCCTGCCACCCTCGCTGACCTGCCTCCCCAGCTCCCCTGACCTAGGCTAGTGGTGCCCTTTGGGCCTCCATCTTGCCTGAAGGCCCTGCGCCCTGCTAGGACAGACATGTACCTTCTCATGTCAGATGTCACCAAGTTTGACACCCCTTGCCCTATTATCTTCTTGCACTATGGGGTGTGTGTGTGTGTTACTGGGAGCTCTGTTAAAGGAATTTGTGTCCATCCACTGCTGTATCCCCCACCTCGCATGCTGTCTGACACATAGTAGTTGTTGCACAAATTAGTCCTTTTTTTGCCCAATAGGCCGCAAGTTTGACCTGAGAGTCTACGTGCTGGTGATGTCGGTGCGTCACGGAGCCCAGGGCCCTCCTGCTGCAGGGTGTGGGGAAGGGCTGCTCCGGGAGAGCTTGTGTGAGCTCGGGAATTCTCTCTGTGCCTGGGGAAGCCCGGGAGACATAGGGCCTGGCCAGGGCAGGCAGGCGCACCTGAGCCTCAGCATCCTGGGTGGGCCAGTACCTCGCTCTGTCCCCTCTCAGTCTCTGTCCTCTTTCTTCAGTCTTTCACGGCCACCACTGCGAACACCAGGCTGCCTATTTAGCAGGCTGGTTGTCACTCAGCCCCTCTAACCACCGACTGAGGGAGCTCTGAGTGCCAGCTCAGTTTCCAGGGGGGAAAAGCAGACACAGAGATAGCGATTTGCTTGAGGTTGCACGGTGGGCAAAACTGGGGTTTAGATCCAGACAGCCTGTCCCCAGCCTACTCTGATGGCCACAGAGTTGCTGTTCTCCCTCCATTCAGCCATTCACTCATTCATTCAGTCATTCATCCATCTATCCAGCGAATATTTAACCCTTCATAGTGTGCTACTCTGTGCTGGGCACATGGACACCGGGATGTCTGAGACAGGCTCAGCCGCTGCCACTGGGACACACATCTGCTGGGGTGTCATGCTTGATGGTGGAGCCCAGAAGGCCATTCCCTCTGCCCTTCTGCATCTTCCCCCAGAGAAGGAAGGGACATAGTCAAAGACTAATATTAAGCTGAGCATAGAGGTCATGTCTATAATTCCAGCACTCTTGGGAGGCTGAAGCAGGAAGAGTGTAAGTTTGAGCCCAGCCAGAACAATTTACCAGCTTAGGCAAATCCCATCTCAAAATAAAACAACAGAAAGGGCTGGAGGTGGGATGCAGCTCAGTGAGGCCTTGAATTCAATCTCTAATACTGGGGGGATGGGAAAAAAGAAAAGGCTGGTGTGAGAATGGGTCCCGGAAGGGTAGCCTGGAGCCAGCAGGTAGAAGGGCCAGCAAGTGCAGAAGCCAGGAGGCATGAGGCCCTGAGTGTCCCCTCTCTCTGCTCCCTCTGTTCCCACCTCCACCCACCTCAGTACCTCCCGCTGCGTGCCTGGCTCTACAGGGATGGCTTCGCCCGATTCTCCAACACCCGCTTCACGCTGAGCAGCATCGATGACCAGTGTATCCTGGGCTCTGTGGCTGCCACACACACTGCCCATCCCATCTCTGCCAGTCCTGGGGAGCTGCCTCAGCCTGGCTGTTGGCTGGGCTGCCTTGGGGGTCTGTGCGCAGGTTGCACCTGTCCCAGTCTTTTCCTGCTGGGCGTAGCTGCTTATGAGGTGGCAGAGGAGGGCAGAACAGGCCTGCTCAGAGCTGCTGGCCCCAAGCCGCTCTGCTGGGTGATAGGTGATGATCTGGGTGGCATGGACATTCACATTCATGGGCACAGAGGAGCAGAAGGGCTTGGTCCTGTGGAGAATGCTTATTTCCTTTTATGGCTCTGGCAGGCCTGCCAGTTAGCTCAGTTGTTTAAGCACCTGCTTATGTAAACATAATCAGGCACAGAATACCACAGTTCGAACCCCAGGCTCACTCTTAAGACAGTCTGAGCCAGCAAAAAAAAAAAAAAAAAAAAAAAAAAAAATCCTTCTCCTTTTATGCCTCTGTCCCTTCAGCACCCATTCACTGGCACACATGTCCCTTCAAATACAACTCCAGTGTCACCCACTTGGCAGAGACCACAGCTCTGCATACACTGCCATGGCAAGGCTGGGGCAGGCATGTTTTGCTGGTGGGAGTGAAAGTTGGTCCCTGCCCTTAGCTGGCCATCTGCCAAATGCCTATCAAAGGCCTAGCTTTGCACATTCCCTCTGCTCTGGCAGTTCCTCTTCTGGGAATGTGTCCTGAAGGTATTCCCACAATGCAGGAAAAGACAAGCTCAAAGGTCCTATTCACTGCACGGCCTTTTCTGTTAGAGCAAGAAAAGCAGAAAATGGGCAAATGATAGGTATGTTTATACAGTGGAATACTATGCAGCTGTTAAAAACGGACCAGGAGGGGCTGGAGAGATGGCTCAGTGGTCTAAGGCACCTACTTGGAACAAGCTTGATAAAGCACAGGGACCGCGGTTCGATCCCCCAGCACCACATACCAGCCAGCTGCGCCCCCTGGTGGGCTGAGCTGGCCACACACACACACACACACACACACACACACCCCAAATAAATGTTAATAAATAAATTAAAAAACAAAAACAAAAACAAAAAAAAACATCTAAAAAAAAAAAAACGGACCAGGAAGAATATTCTGTACAGATATGAATTGTTAATTGGAAGAAAGCAAAGTATAGAGCAGCAAAAAGCATGCTTCCAGTCATGTTAAAAATCACATATATGTGTGTTTGCTAATCTGTGCCTAGAGGTCTCTGAAGGATGGACAGAAGGCTGGAAACATGGCTGGGAGTGGAGCTCAGAGGTGGAGCATGGGCTTAGCATGTGTAAGGCCCTGATTCAGTCCCCAGGACCACAAGAAAAGAAAAAGGAATCCAGAGACAGAAGTTGTGTTGGGGAGAACAAATGCGTAGGCAGGAGTAGAAGGATGTTTCTTTACTTATACATTTTTGTACTTTTGACCCATGTGAATGTATCATCTACAAATTACACACATCAAAAGAAAAAGATTTTAAGATTTTGTGGTTCAGAATAAAACGCAGAGCAGCTGTGTGGGCAGGCTGGGGTCACCCCTCCTGGGAGGCCAAGGCCCCAGGGAGTGGGTGAGGGGCTGCCAGGCTTCTGTCTGGGGACCAGCTGATGTGTTTAGCCTGCGCACCTCTCTGCCTTCATTTCATGGTCCAATTGCAGGGGAGCGTCCCAGGCTTTGGCTTGTTCTACCTACTTGGAAGACTGATGTTAGGCCTTTCTGAGTACATTTTATTTTGGTTGCAGTAGGGTACTGGAAATTGAACTCAGGCCCTTTGCACTGAACTATAGCCCAAGCCTTTTTTATTTTTTATTTTGAGACAGGATCTTGCTGTCAACTAAGTTATTCAGACTGGGCTGGAACTTGGCAGTCCTCCTGCCTCAGCCTCCCAGAACACTGGGATCCCAGGTGTACACCATCACGCCTGGCTCTGAGTATATTTACAGTTTACTTTTTTCAACTTCACCAATTTCATTTCCAACATATTTATTGTATTTTGTAATTCTAAGGATTTATCAGTGGAAGTCATCAAATTTAATGTAGTTCTGTTTTATTGCTACCTTGTTTTTTTTTTTTTAATGAAAATTAAATATGCAAAAGGCAACAAACAGCACCAGCAGAATGACCCCCAGGAAATGTGAGTGTTTTCCCCCCCTCACTTACAAGTGTCTGCACGTTTCTGGCCACCATGGGGATTCATTAAAGAGCCCAGCCCTTTTCCCAAGGCCCGCTCCTATTTAATGAGGCTTTGCTCATTAGACATTTGCAGTGAGTGGATGCATACCATTACCACACCTTCATTTAAATTGTTTTTAATTTTGCAGTATTAAAATATATAAAAACTCAAAACAACAAAAATAAAAACCAACAAATATAGAGAACTGCAGAAAAGACTATAAACAGTGCTATGTACCTACCGTTCCTATTTAGCAGACGATAATATTTTGACATCTTTGCTTCAGATGTTACAACTTTTCAAATAATGAAGTAGTTTGCAGCTCACAAACTAATCAAATAAATTGTAACCTGACTTTGTTATTTGTTATATAGAATTTCCCCAAAGAAATCAAATTATATGAATACATATATATTCATAACCAAAATACAAAAACACCAGCAGAGGCCCTGTATGTCATAGTGAACAGGTAGCTAGACACAATTCAGGTCACGCTCGAGGGAGGGATAGTGAATTATAAAGCACTGACAGGATGTTATGGACATGTTAAGAACAATGGGATTTTGAAATGGAAAAGCGATGGACACTTTTAAGTGGGGAAAAAAAAAGCCCAAAAAAACAAGGGCTGGGAGATGGCTCAGTAGAATAAGTGCTTCCCTGGCAAGTGCAAGGGCCTTAGTTCAATCCCCAGTTCC